TCTGCAATGATCTTGGAGTCCAGGAAAATAAAATCTGTCACTACCTCCATTTCTTCCCCATCTATTAGCCAGGAAGTGAGAGGGCCGGATGCCATGATCTTAGTTTTCTTAATGTTGAGTTTCAAGCCAACTTTTGCACTTTCCTCCTTCACCTGCATCAAGAGGCTCTTTAGTTCCTCTTCACTTTCTGCCATTAGAGTGGTATCATCTGCATATCTGAAGTTGTTGCTATTTCTCCCAGTCTTTTGCGCATTCATCTGATTCTTTTGTATTCTGAAAACACGTTCTCTAAAAATATGCATTTCTGTAAAAAAACTCTTAATTCTTAATTCCAACTGGTGATTCATCTAGCCCCGCCTTTCTCATGATGTGCTCTGCATATACGTTAAATAGGCAGGGCGACAGTATACAGCCTTGCCAAACTCCTTTCTCAATTTTGAACCAATCAGTGGTTCCATGTCCAGTTCTCACTGTTGCTTCTTGAGCCACATATAGGTTTCTCAAGGGACAAATAAAATGAGCTGGTACTCCCATCTCTTTAAGAACATGCCACAATTTGTTGTGATCCACACAATCAAAGGCTTTAGCATAGTCAATGAAGCAGAAGTAGATGTTTTTCCGGAACTCCCTAGCTTTCTCCATGATCCAGCGTATGTTGGCAATTTGATCTCTAGTTCCTCTCCCTCTTTGAAATCCTACCTGTACTTCTGGTAGTTCTCGGTCCACATACTGCTGGAGCCTAGCTTGTAGGATTTTGAGCATAACTTTGCTAGTGTGTGAAATGAGTGCAATGGTGCGGTAGTTTGAACATTCTTTGGCACTGCCCTTCTTTGGGATGGGAATGTAAACTGACCTTTTCCAATCCCGTGGCCACTGTTGAGTTTTCCAGGTTTGCTGGCATATTGAGTGTAGCACTTTTACTGCATCGTCTTTTAAGATTTTGAATAGCTCAGCTGGAATACTGCCTCCTCCACTAGCTTTGTTGTTGCTCAGACTTCCACTTGACTTCACATTCCAGGATGTCTGGCTCGAGGTAGCCAGCTCATTTTTGCAAGCCCACATCGTCCGCCCCTTCCTCCCATTCTTCCGTCACAGTTTCTTAGAAATAACATGCCACACCTCCTAGCTCTCTCTGCGTGTCTGGTTAAGTCATGCTTCAATCCTACAAACTGTCTTAACCCCTGGCCAACTGTTAACTGGGACCCTTTTTTGAACTGATCATGTCCTATAATGGTTACTTACACAGCACCAAAACACCTGCACAAAATTCAGTAATGCCAATGTATATGTTTTGGTGCAAATTTAGAGATAACTGTCATAGCTTAATTAGAGATACAGCACAGTGAGGAAGACGGTGACGAGCTGACTTGTTCCCCGCCTGCTCAGGAGGCTGTCCAGGGTCTTCCTTCACTTCAAGAGCTCTAATAGAGCCTCTCTCTCAGTTCACGCTGAAGACCGTCTCAGCTCAGGAGAAAATGGCAGGTGCAAAAGGCATGTGTGTACAGGGTGTCTCTGGGACCAAGGGCCATGTTTAGGCCTAGACAAAACGCCTCACAGAATCAAAACTATGAGAAGGGGCCTTGCAAGTTTGATGCAGGAAATCTACTGGACCACCCAACAGGTGGCTATCCAGCCATTTTGTGAGGATTTGTAGCAAGGGAAAGTTCACCCTCTGCACTAATCAGTTCCATGGTCAAATTATTCTGTCATTTGCTAAATATCCAACCAAAATCTACCCTCCTGTAACACAAGCCCTCTGAGGTAGCAGAGAAAATGTCTTTTACCCTCTCACATGTGGCAGCATTTTGGATGTTTGAAGGGTGCTATCCACTCCCCCCACCGCCCAAAAAAAAAAAAAAAATCTTTCTCAGGCTAAACACAACCAGTTCCTTCCCTTCCTCAAAGAACTTGTTGTCCATAACCCCTGATCATTTTTGTTCCCCTCTTCTGGACTGATAGGGATGAAAGGATGATTTGAAACAAGGAAACAGGAAGAGTAAAAATGTAACAAGGAACATTCATTTGCCAAAAGGAGGAGGGGGTGGGATCAGATAGCAGTAGGAAACAGAGAGAGGGAAATGTAACAAAGCTTTGGGGGAGGGCGCCAGGATCAGAGAGTATGAGGGAATTTGCACTTAAACAAGATAGCAGGACCCTTGCTCAATCACCTCATGACTATTAACTAACACACCCTGCATAGGAAATAAGCTCATTATAATTCACATGGGAGGGATGAAATGGGAGGGAAGAACAGGTATTGGAGCAGCACGGAATAGGCAGACAGAAAAGACTGTAACCTCTCAGTACCCTAGCCAATGAGGGAAAAGGAGGAGGGAAGAAGCCGACAGGGAAAGGTAATAAAAATGGGATGTGGACATGTGCTTGGAGTTGGCAAGGGGAAGGAAACCCTTTGATTCCCTTTACTGCAATAAAGTTTCAAAAAAGAACTCACTGCTGCCTGGTGCATTTGCTCTTTCAAGGGAGAGGAAAGAGTGTTACTAACATGGACTACTAGAGAATTGGTTTTTAAAGTGCAGTGCCCAGAACCAGAAAAAAGAACTCCAGATGAAGTCTAGCTAGTACAGAAAAAATGAAACTATTATTTCCCATTGCTTGGAAATGAAAACTCTTAAGATCCGCTTAAAATTATGCCAGATTTGCAGCTGCCAGCATACTACTAAACAGCTTGTATTTTTTTCATCATCCTTATGAAGAAAAAGAGTCCCATTTCCTTCCCCTTCCTTTGAATATACCTGGAAACACCCTTTTTGTTGCTCTTAGCATCCCTCAGCAGCCGCCACTCATTCTGAGCTCTAGCTTTCCTGACTGTAGCTCATTTGCACTCACCCTTGGTTCCTGGTCCTTCCTTCCTTATCTTACAGTATTCGGAAGGCACTATTTGCAACAACTAGCAGCATATTTCTGCTAGCCAGGCCTTCCCTGAATGAGTGTGCCAACCAGCCAATTGCTTGGCAATTATGAGTTGTAGCGGTTTTAATTGGTTTTAATGTTTTATTCATGTTTATATTAATGTTTTGACAATTATTAAGCATTTTAATTGCATTGCAATGAATATCATAATTATTTTATTTTTATAATTTTCTTGTAAAACCATTTAGAGATACTATTAAATATGGATTTCTTTATTATAGATACATCCCACCCTCCCTTCTCCTGCAAGGAACCTAAGGCAGCCTACAGAATAATCCTCTTCCTCCTCTCCGCTGTATCTTCACAACTCCATGAGCAAGGTTCAGAGTCCATGACTGGTCCAAAGTCTTTCAATGAGGTGAAAGATTGGTGGCACTAGCTCCTAAGGCCCTAGTTCAACACTCTTAAGCACTAAGAAACACTGCCCTATCTTGTAAATAAATCTTATGCCTTTAATTTTCAGCTCTTCACTAAGCTTTTGAGCAGTCACATTTTGTTTTAAACATCTTGCCTTTCCTCTCTTCCTATAATTGTTTGTGACTGTGACTTTGGGAACTCTTCCTTCAGGAACCCCTTCTGTCCCCCTCCCCAGCCCCCGGTTGGGTTCCTTTCCTAGTGACTAGAAGTATCTACAGAATCCTAACAAGCATTTATCTGAGCCCATTAACTTTCCTGAAATCCAAGGTACATGCTTGACTTTGTTCATCTGTCATTTTCTATAAGAACAT